GTATAAGCAATCAGCGTCAAGTAAATCCTCATACAAAAAAAAAGACTAATTGGAATTCATTTTTATTTAATGAACGTCAAGTAAATCATCAACAACGAAAATAAAATTTTTGCGCTAAAAAAAACCAATTAAATCCGAAAAACAATCAACGTCAAGTAAGTCCGTGTCAAGTAAATCATGTAAACCTTCCTGTTGCTGCTTCTCGTATATATAAATACTTTAAAGTTTTTCGCTTTTAAAAATGTCAAAATCAAATTGGATTCTGCTATGTGTAGTTAATTCACTTGATGATGTTAAAGCTGCAGTTAAATCACATAATGTGTGTCAATATCGAACAAATAATCTTAAAGATCATGAAAAATACTCATTTAAATGTAGTTAATATCGTAAATATTCATCGTGTAATTATGAACTCATAGTAGTTGTACCTGATGACAATCATAACTCAATTTCCGTAATGTTCAAAAATACTCACAATCCTAGCGACTGTAACCAAACATTTCGTTTACCATCTCCACTGCGACAATCTGTTTCACAATATGTTCGTGCTGGTTTAACAGAATCTCAAATTCGTTCGTCGTTCTCAATTGATCATGCAGCCATGCTAATGTCATCAAGCAAATTAAAATATATATTAACAAAATAAGAATATTGTTTACTTTGTTAATGTTTCAATGAATACTGTTTATGTTGTACATTATATTTTACTTTGTTGAGAAATAAAAGTATGAGATACATTCTAAAAAATTTGGTGATCAAAAGTATCGTTTTTTGGTGATCATTTGTATCTAAAAATGTTTGGCGACGAAAAGTATCTTTTTCTGGTGATCAAAAAATTGCTACCCAAATTATACAATCCTTGATGTTTTAAGTTAACATCGAAGTTAGTCAAATTGCAAAATAGAACAAAGAATAATGCTACCTATTAATGTGTTTCTTTCAATAAAAAGTATATCAGATCAATTCAAAGAAAATGCAATCCGCTAATACTTATTCTTATAACCAACTTATGTCAATAAGAGTTAAAATAAGAAGGGCTTTTAACTGGAAAGAATCGAATTAAACGTAGCTATGTCAATTAGTTCTGTGTGTGGGTCTGAGCGTGGGTGTGGGTGAGTATTCACCACGACTACACTCACACGCCCCAAACCCACACCCACACCCAACCACACCCACCCACACACGCACACCCACACCCCAAAACCCATCCACCCACACCCACACACCCCACACCCACCCCACAC